GATGGATAGAGGGATAATGGGGACAGGGAGATGGATAGAGGGATAATGGGGACAGGGATGGTGGATAGAGGGATAATGGGGACAAGGATGATGATGGAAACAGGGATGATGATGGAAACAGGGATGATGAGGACAAGGCTGATGAAGGAGATAGGGATGATGATAGAGACAGGGATGGTGGGAACAAGGATGATGAAGGAGAAAGGGCTGATGATGGAGACAAGGATAATGGGGAAAAGGACGATGATAGAAACAGGGACAAGGATGATGATGAGGACATGGATGATGATGAGGATAGGGATGATGATGGGGACAGGGATGATGATGGAGACAGGGATGATGATGGGGACAGGGATGATGATGGAGACAAGGATGATGATAAGGACAGGGATGATGATGGGGACAGGGATGATGATGGAAACAGGGATGATGATGGAGACAGGGATAGTGACAGAGCCATACATCAGGACAACAACCAGGAGAGCATTCCAGAGGCATGAGGACAGGGATGGGGAGCGGGCTGGGGACCCGCCCTGCCCTCACCTCGTCCTGCAGGTTGATCTCGGTGGCTCCCTTGTTGAGCTGCTCCTGCAGGCTGGACACCACCGCGTTGTTCCCGGGCACGCGGTAGATCCCCATGTACTCCAGCCCCCGGTCCTCCACCACCTTGCAGCAGGCTTCCACGATCAGGGGCACGTTCTGCGGGGACAGGGAGGGGGTCACGGGGTGCCGGGGGGGCGCAGGGACCCCGAGGGTTGGCGGTGCCAGCCTGGCTGTACCTTGTTGTCCGGGGCAGGCTGGCACTCCTCCAGCCTCACGCCGAAGGCGCGCGGGGCAGACTTCTTGTTCTTCTTCATGATGTTGATGCCCCACGGGGCTTTCTGGGAGCTGCTCTCATCTGGGGAGGAAAACCCACCGGGTCACTCGCTGATGAGCCGGGATGAGCGGGAAGAGCATCCCTGCTGCCCCACAGGGATGGCAGTGCCAGGGGGAGACCCCTTCCTCCTCACGAAGCCTCCTGACATCACACACCTTTTGTGACGGCCGCATCCTGCCGGGGGGACCGGGGCGCGCTGGTTCCCGTCTGCTTCAGGAACTCTGCTCGGATCCCCAGCCCACGAGGGCCCTTGGGTGAGGAGGAGTCGGGCTTGGTGCCCGCGGGGCTGCGGGGAGAGCGGGGGGGCTCAGGTGGGGCAGGGCCGGGGGGGCACCAGCCCGGCGCAAAAACCTCCCGGTAAAACGCCGGCATCGCTCCCAGGCTTCCTGGCATCCTACGGAGACCCCTGGGGAGCACCGAGCTGCTTCAACCCTGCTTAAATTTGCCAGGTGCCACCTCGGCCGAGCGGGACCCTGCGGCGCCCGGAGCCAAGCCGGGCACGGGCGGCACTTCCATCACTGCCCCAATCCTGGGAGCCGCTGGATTTGCTCCGTCACTGCCAAACTGAGGTGACCAAAGCCCCGGGGGTCTCGGAGCCCACCGCCCCGGTCCGTACCTCACTTTCCGGTAGTCGTTTAACTTCTTGTTGATAAGTGCTTGGCTGGCAAAACCGGGGTCCTGGGGAGGCAGAGAGAAGAGGGGAAGGGAGAGCTTGAGCTGTGCGTCCGCCGGAGACCCCGGGCAAGTCCACGCTCTGCCAGGCACCACGTGGGGCCAGGCAGGAGCAGGCAAGGGCAGCACTCGGGTCCCTGCTGCCCCAGAACGGCCAGGCAGGAGCAGGAAGGGCAGCACCAGGTCCCCGCTGCCGTGGAACAGCCGGTGCCCGCCAGCGCTTGCCACCCCACTGCAGCTTCCATCACTCTGTGCCAGGTGTCCAAGCCAGACACGGAGGCCTGGGGACACGCCTGTCCCCCCACGGCACACAAACACCTTCACCGACCAGTGCCAGGAGCACCCGCTGCTCCACGGCCACGGATCCATCCCTGCAGGATCCCGGCCTTGCTCCATGCAGCATCCACAGCCACGGATCCATCCCTGTGGGATCCCAGCCCTGCTCCACGCAGCATCCACAGCCACGGATCCACCCCTGAGGGATCCCAGCCCTGCTCCACGCAGCATCCACAGCCACGGATCCACCCCTGAGGGATCCTGGCCCTGCTCCACGCAGCATCCACAGCCACGGATCCATCCCTGTGGGATCCCGGCACTGCCCAGAGGCACCACAACTCCACAACTCTGGTGTTTGCCCAGATGGCTCCGCGTGTTCCAACCTGGCAGCACCAGCACCGCTGCCCTCACCGGGCCCATGGCACCCTCCAGTGCAGGGCTGTGCCACCAAGAACCAGAGACTGCTCCGAGCTCAACGCGCCCGCGGGGCCGGAGCCTGACAGGACCCTTTAGAATCACCGACCAAACCGAGCCACCAGAGCCCCATGGGGGGACGGCACAGCCAGCCCAGCGCTGGCACATCCATCCTCTGGAGCCCACGGCCCCCCAGGGGCAGCTCTCCCCATCTCAGACCCAAGCAACACACTCAACAGCCCACGGCTGCACGGCGAGGGCTCAGCCCTGACCCGGCGCCAGCCCCGGCAGCACCGCACGGGCACCAAACCCAGACCTCTCTCCATGAAAGGAGACACAATACACCACGGCAGAGACACATCACACCACGGCAGAGACACATCACACCATGGCAGGGACATGTCACACCATGGGAGAGACACGTCACACCATGGCAGAGACACATCACACCATGGCAGACACGTCACACCATGGCACACCAGGGTAGAGCCACGCGCGCTCCTGTCCCAAACACAAACAACAAAACACCACCAGCAGATCCAACAACATCCAACGCCGAACACAGGGAGAGCCACGGCACCTCCGCCGAGCACCCTGAGCACCCCGCACGCCCCGCCCTGGCCGAGGCCACGGGGCCACGCTCTTCTTGGATGCCATGGTGCCCGTGAGCCCCCGCGCCGCCCTGTGAGCACGGCACGGGCCTGGCCGTGGCCTGGGGAAGCAGCACAAGGCAAAGAGCCGGAGAGAGCCGAGGCAGTTAGTGCCGGGAGAGCCAGAGGCAGCCGGGAGCCCCATGTGGCTCTCACCTCGCCCTCAGCCTTGCTGTTCTCCCTGATGACTTTGATCCAGGCCAGCATGTCTTCCCGATCCTCTGCCTGAAAGAGATATTCACAGAAGTCAGCGGTCGTCAGGCGGAAGACGTGCTTCCTCTTGGTCTCGCTGTAGGAGATGTCCACCAGGCACGCTTGGATGCTGATCGGCGGCTCCTCCTCACCTGGGGCCGGGGCGCAGGTCACCGCCTCCCGCCTGTCCTTGCACAGGTACAGCGAGTGGGTGCGCAGCACGGCGAACACGCGCTTCCACTGCCGGATACCTCCACCGACCTTCTGCGGGCACAAGGGACGGGGCGCGCGCCTCAGGGCTGCTCCCCGCGGGGAGCGTCCCCCCCGCGCGGCCGCCGGGCTCCTGGGGGGCACCCGCCTACCTTCCCCTTTTTGGTGAGGATCTGCTTGCAGTGGAGCCAGCCCTCCTTCCTCACGGCGCTGAACGGGACGTCCGAGAGGTCGGAGGTCGAGTGCCTTTTGGAACGGGCGTCTTCGGACGTGCCGAGGCTGTCCAGGGACTGCGGGGTGGGGGGGACCGGAGGGAGGTGTTGGGTGCCATCCACACCCCCTGCTTCACCAGCACCCCACCAGGCAACCCTTCTTTGGGGGCACCCCCAGGACCCCCAACACAACTCACCCCGTCGGTGAAGAAGCTCCTGAGCATGCGGAGGCTGGGGACCCGGCTGGGCATCCTCCTGGGGGGAGAGCAGCCCCCGTCAG